TAGTGCACTAATCCCTACTCTGTCAATTGGCCTTGTGCCAGCAAAGAGTCTAGGACCCTGGCCCCTAAGGGCAGGGCAAGTCAATTAGCAGCCTAGAGCCAGGCTTGCTGACTGGGATGGATGGTGAACTCTCAGGTTCAAGCCCTCTGGGAAGGATAGAGCAGCAACAGAACTCACTTGAATCTGGGGAATCTATTTTTTGTTGATAAACTGATATTTGTTTTCACTATAAATAGATACACATTGATATAACAATCTGAAACCTCAACTGTACCCTTCCAGCTGTGTGTGTATGTCTCTTTAAGAGGCAGATTACTTGGTAATTTCTGAGAGTGTCCAGTGCCAGGCACTGAATGCTACCAGTGAACATTCTCCATAAGTCTTTCAGGGTTTGGGATATGCCTGATGTTAACCAAGTCCTGAGGAGAGTGATTGAAAGGCTGGTGGTGTACAAGAGATGACACCCAGCTACTACATGATAAACGCCCTCATGTTGGAAGCAGGGGGACAATAAATTAACCCACAATCCTGGGCAGCCCAAAAAAGTATCATAACTAGCCACCAAGGGAAGTTTTATCCTGCAATTTTAGGTATTGAGTGAGTTTAGGCACCTCCAGGGTTAGGCAGTGGCAAGAGGGAATTATATGGATCACAATGATGGCTAAAATTGGCTAAAAAATCTGGGGTTTAGGTGCCTGCATAGCTTTGTGGATCTGGGCCTAAGTGGCTTAGAAGCTTATGTCCCAATGATGTTCAGTGAAACAGACTCCTAAATCATTTTACACACATCAGAAAATTATTTTAGAAACCTACAAACCAAGGCCTTGTCTGCTCTGCATGGACATTAAAGATTCAACCCCAATCCTGGAGCAAATCAGAGCAGCTCTGAGGGCCAATTCTAGCTGTACAAAATTGATGGGATATAGGTGTGTCCCAAGCCTGTACTCTTTTCTCTGGACACAACCCTGGCACTCCCCGCTCCAGTGCATAAGGTCCCTTGCAAAATGTGTTATAATTAGGACAACTCTGAATATTTTTGATATTCATATAAATGTCCAATGATTTTTTAAAAATTTGCTAAATTCTTGGCCTCTATAAAGGTATGTCTAGACTACATGGCTCTGTCGCCAGAGCCATGTAGATTAGTTTACTTGACATACCCAAATAAAGCAGCAATTTAAATAATCGCCACTTCATTTAAATTAAAATGGCTGCTGCGCTGTGCCAATCAGCTGTTTGTCGACTCAGCGCGCTAGTCTGGACACTCCGTGGTCAACATCAAAGGTATTTGTCGATTGCCCCGTTATGCCTCGTGGGATGAGGTTTACCGGGGCAGTCAACAAATGCCTTTGATGTCGACTGCAGAGCGTCCAGACTAGCGCGCTGAGCCAACAAACAGCTGATCAGCTCAGCGCGGCAGCCATTTTAATTTAAATGAAGCGGTGATTATTTAAATCGCCACTTCATTTGGGTATGTCTAGTAAACTAATCTACATGGCTCTGGTGACAGAGCCATCTAGTCTAGACATACCCTCAGTGTTTGCAGTAATGAGTTCCACTGTCTAATGATGTGTTAACTGGAAATACTTTTCCATACATTTGTTTTGAATTTCCCACTTTTTAATTTAATTGAATGTCCCTTTTTTTCTTTCCATCTCATAATACAAAATTCCCAACCCACTTTCTTTGGATCATTCATTTATTAATACTTTTCTATAATGTCACCTCTAATTTGTCTCCTTCCTAAAGTAAACAATCTTTTAATCTCTACTTATATGACACATTGTCTAGGACCCCAATCATTGTCTCTACCCATTCTGTAGAACTCCCACTGATTCTACAATTAAAACAAAGTGTCAGCTCAGTAATGTGTACAAGATGGTGTTACACAACAGTGCTAATTATATATGTTATCTACATTCCACCCAGTATAATACAAGTTCCTGACTAACTCAGTGCACACACAAAAACCTAAATGAAAACAAAACAAAAAAGCCCACAGCAGCAGCAAATATATTCCCCAAACAGAAGGCTTGATAGCCCAAGAATATATTCAATCCAAAATATAAAAACCATGACAACAAACTCTGATTAACCTTAAAGTTCCAGCACATAAAACTTGTTCATACTGCTTTAGTTCTCACAACTAAAGGCCTCACATTATTGGTGGTGTAGGTTTTAGTGTAATAATGGAAGAATCAGACACAGAGCTGATGAGCAAAAGTCTGTGTTTCCAATATGGCATTGAATTTCACTCAGACCCCAATATGCATTACATTATTTCTTTTCAAAAGCACCTAAATCCCATTGAGTTTCATTGAGATTTGGGTTCTTACATGACCTAGACACTTTTGAAAATTCACCATACATGTACTTGCTGAATCTTTTAAAAATGCACCAGAATATGTCTTAGCATGTCACTGTAGACAGAATATTAGGAAGGAACTTGGTATTCAAGACCGAAAAGAATGAGCATTTCACTCACGTTCTACATCTCATGGATATTAATACAAAATTGCTGTGAAGGCAAAAAAAATCATCAAAAGAAACTAATTGCTTCTCACTACCTTTTCCTATCAGACACTTTTCTCTATAGCCTAATTGTCACTTCATATTTCTAAAATGCTCCAAAGAGACTGTGACAATCCTACAAACAATAATCGTTGCCATTTCGCCGAGAAATATTCGGCATCTTATTTAGACATAAAACATATCTTTAAGAATAGCGCAGCTGTTGTTTTTCAGTACTTTGTGATGCGCTACTCTAAAGGCCCCAATTTCATGTGTGTTCAGGATATTTCAAAGCCCATGGGGTTTCTACAGCTTTAGAATAGCAAGGGATTTCCTTACATATGGATAGACTGGAGAAAGGGGAGGAAATTCTCCACAGCTGTTTATCTTGGCACAGTGCATTCTGGTCTCTTGTTTTGCAGGCTATTGCACACTGAGACACATCACACAAAGTTCTGGTAACCACTGTTACTGTCTTTCAGTAAACCAAACAATCCCGAGGAAGTTTACTCCACTGCCCAGTTGATTCCCCAATCTCAAATAACGCAGACTGAATTCTGCATTTGACTGCAGATACCCAGCTGCCACTGAACTGAATGAGAATACAGGTTGGACCTCTCTGGTCCGGCATCATTAGGACAATAAGAGAATTCGCCAGACCAAGGGAGGTCTCCTGCCACCGGGGTCCTGCTATTGACAGGCCGCCCCAGCAGGCAATCCTGCCTCGCCCTCCCTACTCCTATTCCAGCGGGGCTGCTGGCCCAGCTACTGCTGGCTCCCGGGGTGGCACAGGCTCCAGTCCCAGCCCTGGGACTCCATTGCTGTGTAGCCGGGGGAAACCATGGGGCTCTGACCCCATTCCTGCACAGCCAGGTGAAGCTGTGGGGCTCTGGCCCCGTGCTTCTGGGGGCTCCGGCTCTGGCCCCGTGCTGCCCCCAGCTAGGTTCCATTCCTGTGCAGCTGGCAACAGCCATAGGGCTTAAGCTCTGACACTGGCACTACGTAGCCCCAGCCCTAGCCCTGCCCAGACAAGGAAAGCCACCGGGGTCCAACCCCGTCCCTGCACAGCCAGAGAAAGCCATGGGGTTCCAACCCCAGCCCTGCACAGCCGAGGAAAGTCATGGGGCTCCAACCCCAGCCCTGCATAGTCGAGGAAAGTCACGGGACTTCAGGCCCGGCCCCGCATAGCTGGGGGAAGCTGTGGGGCTCCAGCACTGGCCCTGCACTGCCTCAGGCAAGCTGCTGATTCAGATGGCTGCCCTGCTGGCGCTCCTGTCCTTAGGCTCCCAAGCTCTCTCCTCCAGGAGCATCTCTGGTCTTGCCAGATGTTGCCGGACTAGACAGTCCCAGATTTAGGAGGTACAATCTGTAATATAATGATTGTTTGGGGCATTTTCCAAAGCTTTCCTTTGTTATCCAGAAAGAACAAGAAGCTCACAAGTTCCGGAGTTGCACACTCTTAATTCCGTAGACCAAGTTCATTGCAAAGGTCACAGACTCCTTGCATCCTTCCAGTCCCCAAAAAAGCTCTCTGTGTGCCAGCCTTCCATTTCCCTCTATTTCAGTGATTTGCTACAGCCTGGACCCCTTCCTTCATGACCGGGGCTCTCAGTGCCCCGCTATTTCTCTCTCCCATCACGCCAGATACTCTGAGTACCCCCCCTTCACCCATTTTCTTCAAGTCAGCAGCTGTCTGTACACCCTATTCCTTTCTCTTCTTCCATAGTAGGAGCACATTTCTTTCTGCTCCTCCCTTTCCCCTCACAATTCTCATTTTCGGAGAAGCCTCTTAAGCTGTTCAAATTATTGAAACAAGCACAAAGACAAGATGGGGAGCCAGATATTTCTTTGCTCCATAGACAAGTTCGAAGATGGGGGAAGCTACTGGCTCTGCTAACTGGATCCAAGGGGCTCCACATGCCATTCACATCCTGCTGTAGTTTTCCAATTTTCACCAAAGTCAATAGTATTTTTCCTACTGATGCCTAGAACAGTCTCTGAAATTTTGGAATTGACTGAATGTGGCAGTCAAAAGTTACTGCATTACACAGAGAAGTGCTTTCCAGTTTCACATAAGAACTTGCATTAGTCATCTAATAATCAGCCAAAAGTTCATCTGAGCCTTTGCAGTATGGACATTGAACTAGAAATCCCAAACTCTCCTTAAGTTTCCAGTGCACCTGAGCTTTAGCAGTGGTAGAAATATTGTTTGAAGAGAATAAGCATGTCACCTCCCAAACTTAGTCTAAACTAGAGAGAGTAGAGACATTCAACATTTTTAAAAGTTGCAAACTTTGATACCACAAAAAGAAAAGATTTAGATTTGGTTTAAAGTTCTAGCTAGCCCTTATTCAAGTGATAAATAAAACCAGGTTATCATACTCATACTAGTCCCACTAGCATTTTGACCACACATGCGCACACCTCTGACTCTCTTCCAAAGCAATCAAAATTAGTACTGAACCATGATGCAAGATCACATCACTTACCAGTCCATTGCAAGTGCTTATCACTGCTGTCCCGTTCCCACAATTTGGCTCTGAGACTGTGCCAATGAGGTGGCATGAGGTTCCTGAGTAAGGTACAATCTTTGCACCTGTATGGTTCCCATATCTCCTTTCCAGTACATAATTAGGAGAAAGAAATCCTTGATGGACAGTCAAGCTTAAAAACAGATCCTTCTCCTTGTGGTTAATTTTATAATACACGAAGTTTTCCTTCCAGCTAAAGTCTCTTTTTCTCCTGGCACCTGAGGTGTGATGATGCAAATTGTAAGAGAGAAAATGGCCGCTTGCATCTACTTTCGTAGGACCAACTACATGGTATTCTTGCAGCATACGGATAAAGTGCTCTGGAAAAAAAACAGAGGAAATTTTAGCTTTAGTCATTTCAGAACTCACACACATGAAAGGTTCCAGAGGGGTAGCCATGTTAGTCTGTAATTGAAAAAACTTTAAAAACAACAAATAGTCCTGCAGAATCTTTCTTTCATCTGAAGAAGTGGGCTGTGCCCATGAAAGATCATGATACCACCTACATATTTTGTTAGTCTGTAAGGGTATGTCTACACTACTACCCTAGTTCGAACTATGGTGGTTAATGTAGGCAACCGAAATTGCAAATGAAGCCTGGGATTTGAATTTTCCGGGCTTCATTTGCATCTTGCCGGGCGCCGCCATTTTTAAATCCCCGGTAGTTCGGACTCCGTGCCCGCGGCTACACGCAGCACGGAGTAGGTAGTTCGGATTAGGTTTCCTATTCCGAACTACCGGTACACCTCGTTCCAATGGCGGCGCCTGGCAAGATGCAAATGAAGCCCGGGAAATTCAAATCCCGGACTTCATTTGCAACTTCGATTGCCTACATTAACCACCCTAGTTCGAACTAGGGTGGTAGTGTAGACATACCCTCAGGTGCTGCAGGACTGCTCATGAAAGGGAAACTCCGGGAGGAGAGGCTGATTCTTCACACCATGCGACAGACATAAGGTTTTCATATTTGTAGTGGTGGATTTAACTTAAGGAAACAGGACACCCACCTTTAGATTCTAACAACCCATTGTCACTATTATCAAACTCTAGAAAAGAGGTGGGAGAAGAAATTCACTGCATTCTTAACTCTCACTAACATCCAATACTCACTATATCTACTACGGGTTGAACCTCTCTAGTTCGGCACCCTTGAGACTTGATCATTGTAGAGACAGAGAAATTTGCCAGACCATGAGAAGCCAATATTGTCTAGCAGCATTACCCACACTTCCACTGCTTACTGGGTTCTTCAAAGACAATTAGGGGAAAATTAGAGCTAAATTATGGCACAGAACACTGAGAACCAGGACTGGTGGCTGCCAGCAAACTTTATGGGACCAAGGGACACTTGGTCACACCCATTAGTGGACATCCGACTAAAATCAAACCAGGCCACAGATGTTGCCAGACCAGGGAGTGCCAAATTAGAGAGGTTCAACCTGTACCTCTTAGTTTTTGCACAAATAGAGATAACAGACAGATGATAGTCAAAAATGTCCCCACCCGTCAAAGCTTACACATTAAAGGCAAACTTCACAGGTGGCATACGTTTCTTTTGAAGACATTAAACAGTACCCCCCATGTTAGATCTTGCCCTAAGACTCTTTCAGTCAAAAGATATAGAATCCAAAGGACACCTTACCTATTATTTTCCATTCTAGAGACACCTATTCTTACACCTGAAGCAATCAGACTAGGGATGTAATAGTATAGTCAATTAACTGATAAACAAAAGCTTATTGGTTAATGCTATATACTACACACTTTTCCCTGTCCCCCACCAGTAAATTTTTTTAGCAGGCTGGCCAGCAGCCTGGCTTACTCCCTGCTTTCCCCATGTCTGGGACCTACCCCTGCTGTGGCTCTGCATTTAAAGTGTATTAGGAGCCAGATGGACACGCAGCCCAGCTATGTTTTGGCTTGCACTGGGTCTGGGAGCTCAGACCCCCTCTGAACAAGACACGGACGGGGCTGCTGCCACCCTGCGCTGCTGCCTCTGTAAAGGGGGGTAGCAGTGTGGGGTGGCAGGTGAGAGGCGATCTGTGTGGGAAGCTGGTTTTCAAACTGGCTCCCCTCGTGGACCAGCTCCCTCCTGGCACCTATGCTGCTGCCTCTGACACAGAGGCAACAGCACAGAGTGGCAGGGGGCTCCTCTGGCTGTCAGCCCGATCCCCGGGGACTATAGAATAGTCGAGTAACCAATAAGAATTCATGAGGTTAATCGACTATTCAATTAATTGATATTTACCATCCCTATGTCAGACTCCACTCTGCCATGTTTGTTTATATTTGCTTTATTATAAGAAAATATTGTTTTTATAACCCCATGGCTCTATGAATTCTGTTTTGTCTTTATCAGCTTACTCGCTGGAGTTACCTGGCGATGCTCGGGAAACCTGAGGAGCACAATGCAGAAAAACAATAGTCCGTTATCTTTTTTTGAATGGTAGAAAAGTTGCACTGATTTCTATAGGGATTAAAATATAGGTCCGCCTCATCCCCAGAGGAGGGAGAAGTGGCAGGTGGGGAGCGACCCCAGGTGGAGGGGAGGTTACATGTGGGAGGAACGCCCCAGCTCGCTCCTGGGGCTGCAGGTGCCACCGTGGGGCAGGGCAGGTGCCTGAGCCATTGTGCATGTGGGGGTCAGGGCATTGCATGCCGGCACGGAGGGGGGGGAAAGAGGATCACTTATGTAACCTCGTCGGTGTGAGGGGGCGAGTCCCGGATGGCGCTGGGGGCCGCAGGCGGTGGGCACGTGACCTAGGGTGGGCGGGGCTGCCCCTGCAGCACAGCGTGGCGGGTTACTTTTTTATTTTTACAGCTTGAGCTCAGGCCCAATTGGGTCCAAAAGTACATTAAAACCTTCTCCTGGATGAAAGGTTAGCCCATACAAAGTTTGGTTGCGGTAGCTTTGATAGTGTCCAAGTTATTAGCGCACAAACTTACAAACATTCTCCTTTATATATTAGATTGTCATGGCTTTGTCCTGCACATTAGGATTGCCCGCTCTTGTCATTTGGCCTGGTCTGTTCTGTTGTTTGTCATTATCACTTACTAAAACAACTGACTGCAATCAAGGGGAAGATACAGCATTCTCTCAATTCCTACTGATTGCAGCAGGGGCAGAAAGGGATCAACATTTCTAAGCAGCTGTGAGGCACCTTGAGAGATAGCAGACCTATGTTTGTGCATTTCAAAGGACTCAATGAAATCTTGACTCAATAATAGTCTTTAAAGTGCTACATTGTCCTGCATTTTGCTTCAACTACCCCAGACTAACACGGCTACATTTCTATCACTTGACTCAATAATGACTCTTGACTGCGGTGGGAGGAAAAGCATGGTGAATATTTGGACTATCTTCTTCAGGAAGGATGGAAAATAGCTTTCGAATCTCTACTGCCAGTCATGTCATAAAATTATAGAAACTTATATTTCCCTTAGGTGCTATTTAATGACTCATTTGTGAGTGCTAGCCAATTTAAAGAGGCGAGATGCAAGAACAGAAAATACTGGAATAGACTTGCAAAAATTAATGCTGAAAAATCATGTTGAGACCAACAAGAGTGAGGGTATGTCTACACTACAAAGTTAATTCGAAATAACAGCAGTTATTTCAAATTAACTTTAATAGCGTCTACACAGGCAAACCGCTAGTTTGAAATAAATTCAAAATAGTGGAGCCCTTATTTCAAATTTGGTAAACCTCATTCTACGAGGAGTAACAGCAAATTCGAAATAGCTATTTCAAATTAAGGGCTGTGTAGACATTTAATTTGAAATAGGGGGCCTCCAGACCTTGCCAGGGAGCCCTGGTGGCCACTCTGGGCACAAACAGGAAAACTTACTCTCCTCTCCCCCAGACCCAGAGCCATTAAATGGGTAGACCCTGGCCACAGTGCCTGTGCCAGCTCCAAGCCTGCCAGCCCAGAGCCAGCAGTGGCCACCGGGGCCCCTGACCCAGTGGCCCCAAAACATGAGCCAGCAAGGCCCTGGCAGCCAGCCCTCCACTGCTCCCCCGGATCAGTCTGCCAGCTCCCAGGAGCCTGCCTGATAGGGGCTGAAGAAGGCGGGCGCCTTCCTGGTAAAGGGTGGAGATCATGGACCTTATTGAGGTTTCAGGGGGATGCCCCCAACATCGGCACTGGCAGCCAGCCCTCCACTGCTCCCCAGGATCAGTCTGCCAGCTCCCAGGAGCCTGCCTGATAGGGGCTGAAGAAGGCGGGCGCCTTCCTGGTAAAGGGTGGAGATCATGGACCTTATTGAGGTTTCAGGGGGATGCCCCCAACATCGATGATCTCCACACTAGATGGAGGAATGCGGCCCTGTATGGTAGGATAGCTGCCAGCCTGGCCACCAAAGGCCAGGAGCAGGTTAGCATGGAAGTCAAGTTGGTCCAGCGAGACCCCCAACCCTGAGCTTCCCCTAACCCTTCTTCCCCTTGCTTCCCCCTTCCTGCTCCCTCCTCCCACGTTTCCCCCTCCCCTCCCCTCTTCCCCCCTCTCTCTTCCCCTCTCCCACCTCCTTTTCCCAGTCTCCCCAGATGTTCATCTCTCCCAGTTTTGTTCAATAAACCCAGTTTCTATTTTTGATCATACGTGTCTTTTATTTGACATCAGGAAGGGGAGCAAGAGAGGGGTATGTGGAAGGACTTGAGGTAGGAATGGGGCACGAGCCCCCAGTGGGGAGGACTGGGGAGGCTCTGAGGGTTCCTCGGGGTGGACACTCTCCCTCAGGGCCTCCTGGATCCTGACAGCCCCCCAATGGATTCCCCGGACGGTAGCCTGCAGCAAGTGCAGCCGTGCTGATGGCAATGACGCCACGAGATGCACCGGTGTGCCCAGGGGCATCTCTGGCTCCATGTGGCCGAGTGCTGTGGTGTCCTGAGTTCGGGCACTCCAAGACAGCACTGCTTTGCTGTCCCTCATTGAGGTAGACAAGCAAGCGGGGAACCCTGAGAACAGTCTGTCCGGGATGGGTGTAGGGTCCCTTTAAGAATGGAGCTCAGTTCGCCTTAGGCAGCAGCCCCACACAATAAGTCCTAACCTGATGCCCTGCCGGCACTGGTTCCGGCCAGCCTTATCTTCGGTTCAGGGTCCACTCAGTGTGGACGTGCTATTTCGAAATAGCAAAACGCTATTTTGAAATAGTTTTTGTGTATAGATGTGCTATTTCGAATTAGCTTAATTTGAATTAACTATTTCGAATTAAGTTAATTTGAAATAGCACTGTAGAGTAGACATACCCTGAGTTAATAGTACACCAAAATGTAAGTAGAAGGGGGATAAAGGCATTTCTCACCGGTAATCAATACAACTAA